CATATATTATTATATATATATTTATATATATATATATATATATATACTATTATTTATATATATATAAATACATAAATATATATATGTATGTGTCTGTGTGGGTGGGTGTGATACACTCCGCTCCTCGCACAAATACATTTGCCTCGCGCAATCGTCAACCCCCACACTTGGCATGACCAGCTGTTGGTATTCCCATATGCACACGCACTGAATACCCCCCCCCACTCGCTCAACTTGTGAGCTAACCACATCACTAACACACACGCGTAGGGATGAGCAGTGTCATTGAGGCCTTAAACTGGTTACTTGACCAGGACAATCCCGAAGATGAATACGACTACGATTACTACGAATACGACAACGAGAGCATCCTATCGTATTCTTTGGATAGCGCACATCACTCTGGGTTGAAGCACGAGCAGCAGTATATGCACAACCAGCCACAGTACCAGGTCCGACCCAGGAATGGGAGTGGGTCTGGGGTAGTGGTGTATGAGAACCAGGGTGTGAATATAGGCATGATTGTGGGAGTTGGACACGGAGGAGGGCAAATCGTTCAAGCTCGTGCCACTCACACAGACACACAACCAGTGACGCGGGGTATTATACACCCAGGAACTGACGAAAGACCGTATGCTGACCCACGTGTATTGCAATCGCAGAGAGATGCTTCTTCAAGATACTATACGAGTCAAAGTGACAGCGAAGGTGGAAGTTATGCTACTAACACAGGTGTACCGAAGACTGCGTTTGATATGTCGAGACTGCGCGATTCTGTTATTGTCACGAGCGAGCGGAACAGCCACGTGAGTATGGTGAGCGGGGTGTCTGTCCGATCCGACAAATCCGACAATGCTGACACTGCGGCGGACAAAGTGAGTCATGAAGTACTGTTGTATGATGGAGATACGGAGGAGGATGCACATACCAGGAGCACATATCCAGACATACACGCACACATCTATGGTGGCGACGAAGGGGGAGTGGCTGGGGGCAAGACGGACGACGATGTAAATGTATCAGATAACCTGCCTGATAGTGCAGTCAATCAGCTTATGGTTGACCCCGTGGTGGGAGTCCCGGCGGAGTCTGAAAATGCAACCTCTGCCAATACGACAACCAATATAAAAAGAGTGCGAGATGTGGTTATTAACGGAAGCGTCAGTTCTTGTGCGCCTTCTCCAAAACCGAGAATTTTTGCTAAGCCACGCACATGTATCAAGCAAGCAAGCGCTTGTACCATTGATGTATCCAGTAATACAGGTGAGAGCATGGATAACAGAACAAACTGTACGGACAACCAGGATCAAAATGATCCCGACGCTGGTGAAAGAACTTTGAGTTCTAATACTAAAAGTAAAACCCCGGGCACACCTATACCAGCAAAGAGGGCTGTCATCGGAGCAGTGCCAAAGAAAGAACCCCTAACACAACCACCAAACCATCCGCAAACAGACAATGACTCACCACAAAAAACTGCACAAGAACCAATCAAAACAGAGGAAATCACCCTTCAAGAACCAATCAATTCACCCGAATGGGCCCACAAACAGGTCGATCAGCACAAAGCTAAACACGCTGGTCACCCCCAGGAGACTGATCACGAGTTTAAGCCATTCCAAGCGATCGCTGTACATCCCTACGCAGCCATGCGCACAGACGAGCTGAGTCTATGCGATGGAGATCTGATTGAGGTGGTGTCGTGTGCGAGTGAGCACTGGTGGGAGGGGAGGGTGCTGCAACACGGGGGCAGTGGCTGGTTCCCTTCAGTGTTTGTAAAGGTGATAGAGAGTGCCGAACTTTCATCCCTGAGTGAGCGAGGCAGTAGTGCTGATGGATTAGAGCACGCTTCGTCGACTAGCTCACACTCGTACCACAGCGCTGACTCGGGCATACATACCCAAATGGGCGAGAGACAGAGAGACGGCATGGAGGGTACCAACAAAATGCGTACACGGTCGATTCATACTCGTTCCGGTGTGTTTGTGGGCGGATACGGTGTTGACATGCGCTCGCAATTGAAAGCAGATGATCACTCGAATATCGGGATCGATACCGGGGCTATCTCTACACCTAAGGGCACGCGTGCGGACAAATCCGGCACCTTTGCGTATGTTGATGACAGAGCGATGCTCAACTTTCGCCTGATGGTGGGATTAGATCTGATTAACTCGGAATACGACTTCACCACCGAGATTGAACTATTTTTGACCAATGTTGCTCAGCCGCTGAAAGACTTACATACCCTCCCTGATCGCCCCAAACGTGCTATACTGGCACCTTTGTTCCACGTTGTGCAACTGCATAATATGTTGTACACACAGGTGTATTCCGAGTGTGAAGGCAAGGTATGATACAGCCCCTTGTAGTGCACCTTTACCGTTTTCGAGTTGACTACGTCTACGTGAACTAACCTATGATCTGAGAGCTGAGGGTTAGCATTGAGATAAATTTTCGACCTCGATACCGTGCATTACAAGTGACTGATAGACACTTCTGTGCTCTCACTAGGTTGCACGGTTGTGTTACAAGGCCCTTCTGAATTTGTTGTCTGCTGTTATGCGATCACATCGCTGCTTTCATAACGTACTCGCAATTGTCCACCGATGATCAATATATCATCCAATCTGTTTGATGCTTCGTTGGGTCTTATGTTGTTTCTTCTCAAATCTCAGGACCCATTTTATGGAAAGGTCTTCCTATCGCTGATGCCCGATATCAAGAAGGTTTACATGGAGTTTGCCAGTGCACATCCCGTTGCACTAGAAGCGCTGCGTACATACGCAGATCACGCTGACTTAAACACTCTACTCAACGGCGTAGCTACCAGCATACCGCAAGGCCTAGACACAACATCCGAGGGAGACAAGCAGATGCACAATAACACAACCGAGCCATGTATGGAAGGGAGAACCGGTACAAACACCGGAACGGAATGCATTCCGGAAGAGAACACGGACAATGTCGCGCAGCGTAGAGACAATGGCGCGAGTAAGCGGGCGAGTCATGTGAGTAAGAAGAGCACGGTTTCTAACAATATCAAAGCCCAAGTCAACGGGATAGCTCTGTCACGTCTGACACTTTTCAGCCCCTTCGAACGTCTGCAGAAGCTGGTGCGTTTGTTCGAGGAGCTTCTGCGGTACACACCCGACGCGCATGCACACCGACACGCCAATGAGCTGGTTCTTCAAGAACTCTCGACCTTGGAGCGCAACTGTGACACCACCCGCAAACTAGGCGAGATGGAGCGCAAGGTGCTGTTGTCAAATGTGGTGGGATTGGAAACAAGCGCGATAGAGGCCATGGGCAAACTGGAGTATGCTGGCACTGCGGTGTGTCAATTGCTAGCTACCAGCACTGATACTGCGAATAGTAGTAGCGGTAAAGTAAGCGAGACAAAAGGTGAGAAAAGCGGGACAGCAACAGATGGTAAGGTCTCGTGGCAAGAGTGTGTCGTGCTGGTGTTTAAGAGTGAGCTGCTGGTGCTTGCGCGCGTGTACGATGGTGTGCCCAGTGGAAATTACTCCGCCAACGCCCCTGTGATAGTGGATATGGGTTCCGGTGTTGATCCCGCTAATCGGGGAGGAAGCCGAGGTAATAGACGTATCAGCGCAGATACCTCGTCTTTCTCCTCCTCTTCGGCTGTAGAGGCTGAACCTGTATCCAAATCGGACAGCCATGCCAGACCGTTCGTGTCTGGATTATCGGTCTTCTCATACGAGCTGGTGGAGCGCTTCGATTTGGTGAACTCTCAGGTGCGCTATGTCACGGACGCAGAAGTGTGGGCTACGCCCAACACAACGACCACATGCACAGATACGCAGAAGGAAATGCAGGGCGGTGCCAATGTGTATGAAGATAAAAATACGAGAAATAGGCAGGCCGTCAAGTGTATGAGCATCAACCAGCCTATACCAGATGCACTGTGTATTGAGTCTCTGGAGGAGGCTGCGCACCAGAAGATCATGCTGTCGTCCAATAGCTCCCGAGAGAACAGAGAGAGTGTGCAGGCGGTGCAGCTGGCGATTGATCTGGCACGGGCGCGCAGAGGTTTAGAAGCACTCTCTCCACAACATGTGCCTTCTCCTGTGCTAGAACGCCGTGCCAGTGGTACTCCATCGCATAGACTAAGTGGCGGTAGTAGTAGGTCAGGTAGCGGTAGTCATAGTCTGAGTGGCGATAGCGCTAGCGGTGTGCTAGAGAGTGAGTATAGCAACGTGCTGAACTCGGTCTTGAGTGAGAGTGTAGGAAGGGCGAACACAGAGTCTGTGGGTAATACCGGTACCCCGCCTAAACTCATGAAAGCCTTGTCTTACGATAGTAGTTATGGCACTAACCTCAACGGTACTTTTGACAAACGCGATGCTAAAAGTAATGGTGCTTTATCCCAAAATACGAACGTACATACAAACAACTCGAAACCGGGCTTGTCGGCCACGAGTCGAGACACGAACAACACGCACGCCGATGGGTGGAAAAGCAATAAGGGTCCAGCCAATAGTGTCGGTGGTAGCGTATCTAAAAGTGCAAGCATGGGTAAGAAAGACAAGTCGAAGAATACTAGTATGCAAGGTTTGGGTAGGAGTAAGAGTAAGAATCGGTTCAGCCTGGGGTCCTGGGGTAGTAAGCATAGTAAGAATAGCCTCAACGCACAGGACACAGAGAAGGAGCGCGAACGGGGGGCTAGCCTGAAGCCGGCAGAAGAGGTCGCGGAATCTATAGAGGAGCACGATGGTGAAGATATTCCTGGGATATCCTCTCAATTTACCCAAGACTCACGTACCAGCTCAAGCTTAAGCACGCATCTTAGTGTGAGTGTGCCTATACCGGGCGCGACTGCGTCGGAGAATCTGGCGCACGTTGGGGCAATCGACGCCTTGGCCCGTGGCAAGGGTAACAAAGTCACGCAGGAGCAGTTTGGTATCTTATGCGATACAGTGGTGGGCCTGCGTGCGGTGATGGAGAATATGCAGAAGGAGATGGATGGTTTGCGGGCACACATCGTTGAGGAGATCAAGACACGCTCTGTGCTCGAGGCGAGACTGAAGCGCTGTGGTGCTTTTGGTGATGGAGGTGTATAGTGGCGCTGTGCGCTTGAAGGCCTGCATACTCGTGCGAGTGGTGCACCTCTGCAAACCTTGAGTGCATTTACCTATACATCCCGTGCGATCAGCTGTGCATTAGTACATGTTCAGAATTAATTGTGATCCGTACTCAAGGAGGCATTACAATCATCTGCAGTCGATGACATTCGTAGGGAAGGTGGTATGCTGTGTGGAGTGATCGTGGGCAGGCTGATGATTGACTGGAAAGGTGAATATCACCGCTATCAAATATAATTATATAATATATATATACATTTTTATGAGAAAAATTTATTAAAAAAAATTAGCGGAAATAGTGGCTATATTAAAAACCCAATTTTGAAATGCGCAGCGAAGTTCCTTCATCCGCCGTAATGTTATCAATAATAATGCAGAGCGATAGGTCGACTTGACACTACATAATATGAATTAATTAGACTCTATTGATATATATATATATATATATATAATATATTACTACTCTATAGCAGTTACAATGTCCGAAACCCTACGTTCGACATTTATACATTCTATGTTCGATATGGTCGGAAATTCGTACATGGTTCTTTTCCGACAGGTCGAAAAACCACGCCAAGACAGATGAACACTGCAGGACAGTCCGTCACGGTTATGTATATATATATTACCAAAAAAAAAAGCCTGCAAAAAGTGTGCTCGATATATTATTCTGACTGAGAGATACAGACTATTTTATTTAGATTTGATAGGGTGAAAATGTATTTGTTCTTTTGTTTTTTTTAACAATAAATAGAATTCCCTGTTGTTGTGGCATTTCTATTATCATGTTGGGTCGAAATGTACTTTGATTTTGATTTTTCTAAATTGATTTCAAAGGCTATGTATGAGGTAGCTTGTCGCGATACCTTCTCGCCAGTAATCCATCGAGCTATTGATCCTAAAAGGGTCAATTGTAGGGGCCACAGCTGTTATTAATAAATATGGACTCACTAGCCACCACCCTAATCCAGTACCTGTCCAAACCGCTACGGTCGTATCTGTATGTCGAAAACCCCTAAATCCATGCCCTTCGGACATTGCCTATGCAACCCATCGGGGGTTTAGGGTTTAAACCCCTAAAGTCGGTACGCATGGGAGAAAGAGTCCGGCCTGGAACAAGACTGTCAAACTCCGCCAGCGGTTCTTCAGTCTCACCGACGCAGCACCGTCTATTTGCATCCATGGCCAGCTGATAAACCTCGCCCTCGCCGGCTTCTCAAGAGTTGGTAGGCGCTTATCGATTCACCCGACACTCATGGCACTGATATGGTTCCCAGATCCTCTAAATATTTTGGTTTCTACCTGTCGTATGGAATAACGAGAATCGACTTTGCAAAGCATATCGATCATCTTGCTACAGAACCGCTTCAAGTAGCAACTGTTCCTGTCCCCTGTCAATGTTTACGGAGAATGTTGATACCCGTATTAAGCGGCGCCGGGTCCTCTATTCGTTCCGTTACCGTTTCTGTGGCAGATGTAGCCATATTTGGGCAGCGGCGTGAGTAGTGACCTGTCTCTTTACAATTGTGGCATATAGGGCAGAGTGTGTCCGCAGGTCTCAGGCGATACTTCCGACACGGTGGAATATCCGTGCGGGTCGGATTTGACCTTCGTCGTCCAGGGCCACAACTGTTGTCACGGCCATGGGACTATTGCCTCGCGTCACGGCCAGAGCTACAGTGCCTGTCCCTACCAGTCCATGGGGATCGATGACGATCGTATGAGCGTCCACGGAAGTCGCTGGAGTCACGGTTCAGAGAGAGTCCTTGGACATGGTCGCTGCGGTCACCATCACTACGCTATCCTGAATCACCGAGGATCAGACTGTCCCGGAGTTGTCTACTACTACACAGCAGTCAGTACACAGTCGTTTCACGACAAAATGGGCGGTCTGACAGACTGATCAATTATATGATGTTATTTCGTATGCAAAACAGAACATCCCGTTGTAATGCAAATATACAATGAAAGGTTGAGGACAGAATCGATATATATATTCTTTCACACTGCTGTCATCTCGAGATGGCCGAAATCGCCTTTGAATCACCAGCCGCGATCTGACTACCAGTTGTGGTACAGGTTTCACAGGCTATTAAGTCTACCGCAGAGGTATTAATACCCAAATGCTACACTGCTGGATATGAAAGATGGCAACATTATTTCAATGGGAGAGTATCGATGACATAATCAGAACCTTCTGAATGTACGTGGAGACGCCAGATTCCAGAATGTCGACATTGGCCGGCCGTGGGGTGGGAGTGCACATCGGTAGTCTATAGCCGTGACTTATCCCACTACACGATATCATTCGATTCTCCCGTTTATCAGATAGCACACAAACACTGATTTCTGCAATTTCGGACTCATTACTTTGTGAGAGTTTATATTTCTGTTCGGTTTGACGCCGGGACTTCTACCCTGCGGTTAAACGAAGCTATTTCGTCGTCACGTAAACTGCTCTGTGTCTAGAATATCGAATACTGGAAGCGTGCATATTTAATCCATATGGAATGCACTTTATCCCACGTGCTCAGCTGCTAGTGGCTCTACTCAATCTAGCTGTCTAGTGCAACGCGCCTTATAGCCTATACAATCGGATTGAAATCGTGTCGCTCGGTGGTGTGTCTGAGGTGGTGCTGGTGCTGTGTGTGGTATTGGTGACCATGCTGATCTCCTGGCGGCGGTTGTGCCGTTCTGCTAGCCCAGTCGTCCGCATTGTTGTTCTTCTCATCCTTTGCTATAGAGTGTGTCGGCATCTCCCACAGCAACTTGTCTTCTTTCATCTGCGGGAAGGTCTGAACCTACCCAGGTCATTGAGATGTCAAGTACGAATGGGTGAGTACTCGTGGTGCTTATATATATATATTCCCAATAGAGAATTATCCGCGTACACTTTCTACTCAAAGTGCTTGTTTATTTATACCCTTCACCGCCGGGACTGCACATGTTTGTGCGATGCTGTTTGATACGTTGTGACTTGCATGTGTGGCGTAGAGAAATACCAATAACTCAAAACAATCGAAGATTCACTACAAATACAATGCCAGAGTAGCACACATGCACCGGTGAAGCTTGATTCTATAGTTCCTTTTTTGTTCCATAAGTAAATATTTTTCAAGAGCTCTCTCAAATATGCTGCCCCCGTAGTGGCCTGAGAGGTAGGAGAACTTCCTACCAGTTTCTTCCGAAGCAGTAAAGGATCAGGTGTAGTATCGGTTGCACACAAACACACATACATACCTTTGATCACCATCCCACCGTGATCAAATTCATTCTCATGACATAAACACATGATCTCCCGAACGCAGCACACCTTTCTCTCGTGTGGTTATATCTCCCCAATGAATGATAGATGCATACCATCCAGAAACATACTTGGTGGATGGCTTAGCACCCTATACCTCGCGTCAATGAAGCGTAGTGGATAGACAACTCATCTGGAAACACACACACGATACAAGTTTCAAAAGCAACTCAAGAAGGATCCAAGGCTTCCCCTCTGACTTGCGCGTGGTCTTAGTTAATACATTGACGTATGTCCGTACTTCTCGTATTCCGTATGGTAAAATTTTAACTCCTGCAGTAGCGTTCTGATGGCCCAAAACTAGGACGTTTTGACTAAGGTCATGACTGGTGCGACACGATCATGTATACACTTAGTATCTGCGTAATATTGGCTAAGAATACGTATACTTTGTCCAGACTCACTACCCGTAAAACACAGACATTCCTACCTCTCGTATTTGCGTATTGTTGGTCAACAACATCAGCATCCTATCCAGACCCATGCCCCACCCTGTAGTGGGTGGCAAGCCGTACTCGAGTGCGGTGCAGAACCCCTCGTCAGGTAGTTGCGCCTCACTATCGCCGAAATTGAAATCCTGAATGTATTAAAAATAGTTGGGCGGTCAAAAACACAATTTAGTCAAAATAACGGTGCGTGTGTGTGAGAGCATTCATGTTTGTTGCCAATGATATCCCTTGCTTAGATATGACTGAGTCGGTAAAGATAGTAAAAGTTGTTGTAGGACGGGTGCTATGGATTCTGAACAGTTGGATAAATTCTCTAATTCATATCTTATCTGGGTCCACTTGTACATGCAATCGTCGGCTAACATTAAGACTGGCCTTCATATAGTCTTGCATGTATGTATGTATGTACGTACGTATTTATGTATGTATGTATGTATGTATAAAAAAAAATGTATGTATGTATGTATGTATGTATGTATGTATGTATGTATGTATGTATGTGTGTATGTGTGTATGTATGTATGTATGTATGTATGAATGAATGTATGAATGTATGTGTGTATGTATGTATGTATGTATGTATGTATGTAGATATGTTTGTATGTATGTATGTATGTATATATATATATATATATATAGCCTGCAACCTGTAAGTGGGCTCAATGTAAAACGGAGAAAGTGATTTTTATATCCTATATACTCCCGACGAAGGTAGTTGCCTCAGAAGAAGCCATCACATAATCTAGGTCTAGCGTAATGTTATCCTTGACCTCTTTATGTAGATTACCAGAGTATATTACCAAACAACACATACAGAGCCGTCGAGTCGCACCTATAATGATGAGTCCGCCAAATCGCGCATGTACTGTCACAGCGTTTACATTTATCGACAGGAAAATCCTTCAACTATTTCCCTTTGCATTGGAAACCCAATTTTGCACCAGAACAATGATAATTATATGACAGATATAGCTATATTAAAAATGATAGTTTTTTACACGAATGTTCATTTCAATATTATTATACACGAAAATTCATCTCAATCAGGTCCACTTACACGAATGAAAACACATAAACACACACATATATATAAATCATGGGGACGATAGTGCCCTTCTCACCTTCTCTTGGGCTTTAAACCGCTGGCGCTGTTCCACAGGGTTATTCAATTCGACGTAAGCGTTGCAGATTTCTTGTCCGCGCACAAACAGTTCGAAGCGGTAGCATGTGTTGGGCTGTTTCAACATAATGGCGATATTCATATATGCAATGATTTAGTAGTGGCGCCCATACGGCCTGTGTGCATACAGAAACTTGTGTATTTCCCCTGCTTGTAACCCATTTTTATCAACTATGCAGACAAACATGTATCTATCTACACGACACCCATGCGTACTGCGGTGTCTTGGTATCAAAAAGCCGCTGTAAGCTTGGAATTGGAGACAACGAATACCGGATTTCACATTCACATATACACAAATACACATGCAGACATGCCTCTTCCGGCCGTTCTTTGGCGAGCGGTGACTGTATCTTAGGATGGTATATGATAAAAGTTGGATTCACACACTGTGGCTCGATAAAGTGGCCAATGAGTTTGTCTATCAGATTCGCTTCGGTGGCGTGTGATCGCGTTGAGGTGAGATGGGACTGGATGCCGTGCTCCTCGCAAAAATTCATTAAGCGCTCGAGCAAATCTGAGAGTGTGCGAGGGATGTCAGGAATGTCGGGAATGTCAGGAATGCTAGAATGTGTGCGAGGTCTCTATTGTGAGTGTTGCGAAGTTTTCCCCGTTCGTCAAGAATCAAAATGCGATGCTAGGTATATGGGTCATGTGAGACAAGTTATGGGACACCATCGTGCACAGGTTGGTGGGAAATGAACTGCTAGGAGTGATAGCTATTCTATGTAGAATCACACCACACCCTCTAAACAAAATGCTTGCAAACCAGTATGGCTCGGCACCAAGATACCCATCCATTTATTACGGATACGTCACAAGACTTCGCTTGTCACGATTGCTTTACCTTTATGCAAGGGAAATCCATAGAGCGGTTTAAATGCCCTACACTCTGTGCGATTACTTCCAACACCCCATCTAAACGCAACCTAAAGTCCGGCTATATACCGCCACGCCTGGTGTCTAGCCCATAACCACGGCATGCCTACACCGTTCAACTCATGAAACTCGCCCCATGAGCAGTTGCAACTTACACTCCAGGCGCAGCAATACTACTGCGTACCATATGGCCACAAGACGTTGTGCAATGGTGGGGACATCCGACAAATTGATAGTTAGAAACACATCGCCGAGGGTAACTGGCGATAACTGTACCTCACAGACACACATTTCTGCTAAACAACTGTGTTGGGTGTGTTCTTGATGCCAAAATTAGACCGAGCCTTCCATTCACCTACCTGGACTATCGAGGTCAATTGGTCCCAAATGCTTCTGTAGCTCCGACATCACCTCAATACGATTGTACGGTTTGCCGAAGTTGATTTCTTGCTTAACGTCATCCTCTAGCTACAGTATAAAAATTGCGCGAGCATTGGATAGAGTTGTAGACTTCAGCAACAAAGGTAAGCTTGTAGAAACCCGTACACATTCTTCATGTATATGCATTTGATAGAGCTGTGGACTACAAGATCAAAGGTACCCTTGTATGACCCGTACAAGTTCTTCGTGTGTATGCATTTGTGTGCCCATGCGCAGCCCGAAAGAAATGAGAGTAACCTGACACACCGCGATGTTATAATGTGCCGCGCACTCTGTGAATGCACTCTTATGTGCCTCACTCAAACCTCGATCTGTGACCATGAACAGCACAGAATGTGACCTTTACTTTTAGAACGCGTAGTGGCTAAGATGTGTTGATACGCGAAGCAAAAGACAGTGAAATTCGAGGGCATGATGCAAACGCTAGAGTGATGTGTCAATCCGACATACGTCTAGCACATGTTCCACCGACCACACGTAGCAAGCCTTACTACAAGCAGACTACCTAACAGACAACAGTATATAAACTACCATCTATCACATCCTCATGCCGATGTCAGCGGTGTCAAACTGAATCCGGAACTTCGACATACAAGCACATGCACATCCCACCCCGTATGTATTTGATACAGATATTGTGAGTAAGCTGTGACAGAAATGCATATCGTTTCGTTAAACATGAGATACAATACAGTGGTACACCATTGTACCGTGTTCACTCCAGTATCACCTGCTTTTAGGGTTTTAACCACCGGCTTTTAGGGTTTTATGGTTTGGGGTTTTAGTTCCCACACGTACAACAGGGTTCTATGCCTGAAGAACCCCTCCTACACAATCACACATGCCCAAATCGAAACAAATGCCTTCTTCGTACCTGAGATTGCGACGCATGAAGTGTCAAGTTCGGCCTCAGCGTGCCCGTAATGTTCTCCACAAGTCCGCTGATTATGTCTTGTGTGCGCGAGATGAGTGTTTCAAAGTCTCCGTACGCTTCGTAAAACTCGAGTGTAGTGAACTCCGGTTGGTGCGTGCTGTCCACTCCTTCATTGCGAAATACCTACCAGCGGGGTGTGTTAGTGGGGTGTTTGATTGCCTTACACACTCTGGGCGTTTAGGGTTTATGGGCTTTGGATTTTAAGCTGCCGTTTATGAGGATGTCATGTGGACAGCTAGATACGAATCAAAGCATAAGACAGAACTTGTAAGATTCTTATAAAATAAATCAGCATTACTACAACACACCTTCCCAATCTCGTACACTCTGTCCAGGCCTCCAATTACCAATTGTTTGAGATACAATTCGGGTGCAATCCGGAGTTTCTGTGTGAGGGATATACAAACCGGAATTAGGATTGGCCATGGTAGTAAAATGGCTTAAAATTCGACAGCAATAGAATTGGGGGTTGTGCCGAGTAGTGATCGAAAACAGAGTAGGACCTTTAGGGTTTTAGAGATAAGTTTGCACTCCGCAGTAACGTAAGGCAAACTGATAAATCAACGGACTTGTGCTACACACTCCCCTATTTTTATTTGCGAAGGCACTTACACAGTCGGTGGTTGAATAATATATATCAATTCTAACCAACCTGTACTAAATTTACTCTATATGATTTTATATGCTACAATTCACCTGCCCTCGCTTGATATACATTCTCGCTGTAAAGACATGTTCCGTCTAACTAAATGCATGCAGGGACAGTTCGCGATCCGATTCTGTAGTATGTCTGGTACGACTCAGACCGTGTTCTTGATCTTTGATACTATCCTCTGCTCAGTACTGATGCTCCGTTGTGATTCATTGATCTACACCAAACTCTCGCGCACCTCGCACTATGTGTCGTATTTTGAGCTACCCATCCCCACTACTTACAAGCAAAGGCACACATAAATATATAAAATTACGCTCACGATTTACATGACAAAACTTTCGCACTAACCCAAAATCGGGATTCATGCTCCACATTCACCCAGCAATGCTTCATATTCGTGACTCGCAGATCGGGTTTTGTGAACAGCCCATAGCACAATGACTACCAACATAATATAGCGGACAAAAACACCATCGATGCACTATTAACTGGGCAGCAAGCACCAATACTGGGATCCCTTACACCGGATAGTAAGTGTGGAGGAGAATCTCAGGAGCGCCCGACTGCAGTGATACCATAGATGATTCCCTACACATACAAAGGACGGTAATATTCACACACCCCGTGATTTTCGGACTCACAAAGCCATTCTAATGCGCATTGAAACCTAGCCTAGCCTGACAAGGCATCTGGGTCTATCTGGTTGGGGTTACAGCGCACAATCGCAAATACATATTGATATGATCAGGCACGATCTTCGCTAAGGCACTCTTCACCAACGGGATCCGCTGAAACACCAGGGACATATCTCAAGATGCGTATGCTATGAGTATCGCACACTCGCTCGGCGACACGTAAATGGATTTAATTTTTTGGTCTCGTGGCCCACCTGTGTGATCTCAACCACATCGTAGAGGATAAATAGTTTGCCTTCAGCACTATGATGGCGGTCTGGTCATCTCATTAAAAGACATATATAAATATCTCATGCACTCATATTCACATACGTAAGGCTGTTTATTCGCACCACTGTCCGCCTCTGTTATAAAGGGTCGCGCATTGGCACCTCCAGCAACATCGTTGAGAATTGGCGTTTCAACTTCGATGAAACGATGGCGGTCGAGATAATCTCGGAGATACCTGTACGGATATATGATGCAGCAGAGCTTGTTAAGCTACACGTATATGTCGTGAAATATAGACTCAGAAGTGAAAAAGTAACAAACGTGACTGCATATTTACATTAATATAAGTCTGCTCTTTTCGCCTGAAGAGCACTGCAGATCAGCTGAGCGTCTACGTAAGAATATACAAATGAAAGTTAGGCAGGTTCACTATACACCCATTATTTATTTGAAACTAATATACGCACCCGCGTATGTGGTGTGAATGTGTTCGTGTTGGTCACGCACAGAGAGCCACATGCATAGCTGTGGACATGAATGATAATAATTCTAGCTCTGATCACTGATATGCTATGCTCTCTCGCACCATGTAAAGTTGCAATCTATCTACACATAAACAATGGCATTGCAAGCACACTTACTAAGTATATGCATTTACATTCAAACTTCAGATGTATAAATGTGTAGTACATACAAGATTTCGCAGATAAATCTTGCATGATATAGGCAGTACGAGCGAGCGCGTACTGATCATCACAACCAGAGTATAGTATTTTTCCACACGTATCAATATTCAATCCATCATGCTTGAACAGGTATGAATATCGAACAAACTAAGATGGGAATGCAAATACGCATAGACTCAACCTGAAACAATAAGGCACACATGTTTACACACGAATACACAGACATCCTGCTGGACTGTATCCGTTCTTAACAGATTCATTGGTCTTTCAATACTGAATATTGAATTCTCCTTCCAAACGTATTACCTTGGACAGTTTACTCTTATCTCGAAGCTCAACCATCATACAGACTTCACACATGGATACACGAACAACGGGAATATTGGAACCATATATATATATATATATATATATCACAGATGAGTCACATACACACACACACACACACACACACACAAACGAATATCCATGCATAGATACATACTTTTCCCTGAATGCTTAATCTGATACAAACATGTAAATGTACACAACGCCGCCATCACACCTAAACGTATGAACACTTGCAAATAGGATCTATCACAAAGCACCGCCATCTATCAAATACCTGAGCATCTTACTCCTAACTTTGATGCTTTGTATTGTCTGTGGATTGACCATCATATCCAGGTACCGTTGTCTGAACCTGATCCCGGTATCCTTCAGTGTGCCGGAAAGTGGGAGGTGGTGCAGGCACGGCGACAATACTTCGATGCTGGCAGCGTACACACTCAACTCGCCCTAAAAGGTGGATGAAAACTTCATTTAGAGTACATTCGTCAATCATGAATCATAGAGCTTTTGGTCCAGAAATGGAAAGTGAAACTTTTTTCGTCGAACACATTGTCATTTTCAGTCACCTGCAGCTTTCAATGACGTAAATTTCTGTTGGACTGATACCACTACCTTGGACATGTAGCTCCCACCACCTTTTTGGCTCTTACATACACACTCATCATGATGCCCACGTGTAAGGCTACAAGTAAGCACGCGCACACATACGGAGATATATACAAATATACATGTAGGAATGCAAATATGAATCCACATCCTTCCACACATACGTCCCAGCACAGACACGAGAACATGCGAAAGCACTCAAGTAAATGTAAGCTGTAGCTGCCCTGCAAATTAACTAACTACGCACACAATTGTAGACCCATCGCCGAGGATGCCCTTGATCGCGGCTAAGATACCACATCCCAACAACGCGTCAGACCAAAATCGTGACCGTAGGAACCTCCGACTAGAAATCGTACCACTGCACTTCCAATGCACACCACAAAACACATATAAAACAAACTCAAACACCTATATACCCTTTTCACTCATGTCACTGGCATCGGACAATCGCATGATATAGATAGTGGGGTGCAAAGCCCACCCTCCTACACGCTATCTCCATCTTAAAACACACAGACACCCCACCATGCTTATATATACATTTGTACGAACGTACAATGCACAACACTGTACCTTAGGCGATCGCCCCGGTACGCCGTCTACCTTCACCACATCGCCGCGTCCCAACAAATCCCAAAACAAATTGAAATCGTCCGCTCTAGTCATATTTTTCCGGTTCACGACTGCTTGGTATGAGTGGCCATCTGAAGGTTACATAAAAGAGTCAGAATTGAGTTACGTCGACAGTCGCTCACAATATGTATACCTGGTTTGTTTATCAGCGAATCGAAAACATGACAACCGAATTTGAACACATGTGTGTGGTACGGCTCTGGAGTATCTCGGTCTAAATTGCAGCGGTTCGGTTCGTACAATATTGCATTACAATACCATGAACACGAATATACGCATCAAAGCAATGGTTGCACTCAGGATGAGTGCATTTCTATCAATGAACACTAGTTACGTATATTCCAAAATCTAACAAGTGGAAGCTTCGCTCAATAGCACCCGTAGTGGATATACCTTATTTAATATTATGCAAAACATGCGATGCATTTTACAAACTTAATTATTAGCGGACCCTCGAATGTTCTCTAAAGAATGATCTGAGTGATCGTAACAGTGAAAATCAGCTAGAAGCACTCAGCACACTCTGCCAATTGTAGGGTCCATCAAACAATACAAATTCACCTGCGACTTGCGACAATAAGCTATGAATCATCATCCAGTGCACTGTGTCACACCATCTTCGCTTAACGACCAGAGTGTCTCTAACCAACGAACGCTCGGTGTATTCGGTACTGAACCAAACCTACCCATTTATCACCTATCTTGTACTATGCCTAGAAACCATGAGCGAGTCTCAGCCCAGAGCTATCTGCAAGCGTGAGCAACCCACTGCAAACGAGAGTACCACACTTTGTCAGTGGTACGATGCACAGTGAGGCCGTTGACCCCGACAAATATAAAACTAGTACGTGTAATTCAGGTAATAGAGACCACGCTAATGCTCACCTTGCTGCAAGTCCAAAAAGAACAGATTCTTGCCCCCGTCCCTCCGCGTGCTTATCCTGCCTGTTAGGCGATGTTGTGAGCAAGAAAAACATCGAAAATTGATTAGACGTTTTTAATACACCATGATGTCAACGAAGAGTCTTCCTGCTTGTCAACGAAGAGTCTGCCTGGTTGTCATCGAACATCTTTGCAGGGCACGTGAACGTGTGCACGCTTACCAACGGTTGTGACTGTTTCCTCTGCTAACTTCTCTCCTGGTTGTAAGTGCTTGAAGGCTGCTTGCAGTTCATCCAGGGTTTTGTGGTCGTGCGCATCGTATATTGGGTATGGAGACCGATTCTGTGTTACGAAAGGATTCTTGAAATCAATGCACTGTGGATTCGTCCTGTCATAGATCGAATTAGATCAGTGTATTAATTGGGAGAGTCGCTAGGCCAAATAGCAAGAGTTAGTCACCTCTATGTATATGTGTATGGGCTCGGTAACCAACGCGTATGGAAGCATGCTAATAATTTCGGGGGCATATCAAGATAAATAATGCATGATGTGCATATGTACAAAACTTGAATTAAGAAGACAACTCTGAATTTAAGGAGACATGCATGTGTAAGTTGAATTTGGGTCACAGCGAGCAAACATTCAATTATCGAACAAGTCATAGTCAACTCATTTTCAGAGATCTGTATTTAGGTATGTGGATGAACCGTTCACAAGCTATTTGCGAGAGTTTTACATGTCTGTCACACTGCATGAACAAAAATTATCCTTATTTCTCTTTGCACCTGTACTTGGGCGACCTTAGCCAGCAGGATCGAACAGACAAGCATATACTAAAGACTCACGGAGATAATCTTGATGGTATGACTTTATCATAGGATATGGTTGACCACTACAACTATGTGAACACTCCGGATCAAACATAAATGACCGTTTGACAATGTGCCCATCTCTATTTATTGATGGGCCTCACAAAGGCATATGCTCGCTTGTTTTTCAATAATGGTCGACCGTGTGCAGTGTATACCTTTTCCACACTCCACATACGACACACTGTGATGGCAAACAGATGCGTAACGGGCCGAATTCAGTGAACTAGTCAATGAATAGTTTATAATCGTGTGCATTTGAAGAGCATTCGGGAAACAACACTGGATACATACCAGGCAGAATCATGAGCATTCTAGAAAAGTATGTACCTGGTTAGATAACACGAGCGCTTCAAAGGC